GAGAGAGTGTGTGAGTGAGTGAATGAATGAGAGTATGTGAGAGAGAGTGAGTGAGAAAGTGAGAGAGTGTGTGAAAGAGAGTGTGAGAGAGTGTGAGTGATTGTGTGAGAGAGAGTGTGAGAGACAGAGAGTACGAGAGAGTGTGTGAGAGAGAGTGTGTGAGAGAGAGTGTGTGTGAAAGAGTGTGTGTGAGAGAGAGAGAATGTGAGAGTGAGAGAGCGAGTGTGTGAGTGAGAGAGAGAGCGAGTGATTGTGAGAGAGTGCGAGAGAGAGAGTGAGAAAGTGAGTGTGAGAGAGAGTGTCTGTGAGTGACAGTGTGTGAGAGAGTGTGAGTGTGTGAGTGTGAGAGAGAGTGTGAAAGAGTGTGAGTGAGAGAGAGTGAGAATGTGAGAGAGAGAGAGAGAGTGCTTCAGAGAGAGAATGTGAGAGAGTGTGAGTGACAGTGTGTGAGAGTGTGTGAGAGTGAGTGTGAGAGAGTGAGAGAATGTGAGAGAGAGAGAGTGTGAGAGAGAGAGACTGTGTGAGAGAGAGAGTGAGTGAGAGAGACATAGAGTGTGTGAGTGAGAGAGAGAGAGGGTGTGAGAGAGTGTGAGAGAGAAAGAATATGAGAGAGAGTGCTTCAGAGAGTGTGTTTCAGAGAGAGAGTGTGAGAAAGTGAGAGTGTGAGAGAGTGTGTGAGAGAGAGAGTGAGAATGTGTGAGTGAGAGAGAGAGGGTGTGTGAGAAAGAGTAATGGAGAGTGTGAGAGAGAGAGAGAGCGAGTCAGTGATTGCGATTGAGTGAGAGAGTGAGTGAGTGTGTGAGAGTGAGAGAGAGAGGGTGTGAGAGAGAGTGAGAGAATGTAACTGTGTGAGAGAGAGTGAGAGAGTGTGTGTGAGAGTGTGAGAAAGTGAGTGTGTGAGAGAGTGTGAGCGAGAGAGAGTGTGAAAGAGAGAGTATGAGAGAGTGTGTGTGTGAGTGAGAGTGCGAGAGAGAGTGAGAGAGAGTGTGATAGAGAGAATGTAACTGTGAGAGAGTGAGAGCGTGTGTGTGAGAGTGTGAGAAAGTGAGTGTGTGAGAGAGTGAGCGAGAGTGTGAAAGAGAGAGTATAAGAGAGTGTGTGAGAAAGAGTGAGAGTGTGTGAGTGAGTGAGAGTGCGAGAGAGTGTGAGAGAGAGTGACAGAGTGAGAGAGAGTGTGAGAAAGTGAGTGTGAGAGAGAGTGAGAGAGTGTGTAAGTGACAGTGTGTGAGAGTGTGAGAGAGAGTGAGTGTGTGAGTGTGAGAGAGTGTGTGAGTGACAGTGTGTGAGAGAGAGTGAGAGTGTGTGAGTGAGTGAGAGTGCGAGAGAGTGTGAGAGAGTGTGAGAAAGTGAGTGTGAGAGAGAGTGTGTGAGTGACAGTGTGTGAGAGTGTGAGAGAGAGTGAGTGTGTGAGTGTGAGAGAGTGTGAGTGAGTGAGTGAGTGTGAGAGAGAGAGCGAGTGAGTGAGTGAGAGAGAGCGCGAGTGAGAGAGAGTGATTGTGTGAGAGAGTGTGAGTGAGAGAGAGTGGGTGTGAGAGAGAGAGAATGTGAGAGAGAGAGTGCTTCAGAGAGTGAGTGCTTCAGAGAGTGAGTGCTTCAGAGAGTGAGTGCTTCAGAGAGTGAGTGCTTCAGAGAGTGAGTGTGAGAGAGTGAGTGCTTCAGAGAGTGAGTGTGAGAGTGAGAGAGAGAGTGAGAGAGAGAGCGAGTGTGAGAGAGTGAGAGAGAGTGAGTGAGTGAGAGCGAGTGATTGTGTGAGAGAGTGTGTAAGTGAGAGAATGAGAGAGAGGGTGTGAGAGAGTGTGAGAGAGAAAGAATGAGAGATGGAGTGCTTCAGAGAGAGAGTGTTTCAGAGAGAGAGTGAGAAATTGAGTGTGAGAGAGAGTGAGAAAGTGAGTGTATGAGAGAGAAAGAATGTGAGAGAGAGAGTGTTTGAGAAAGAGAGTGTGTGAGAGACAGAGAGAGAGTGTGAGAGAGAGTGAAAGAGAGAGAGAGAGTGTGAGAGATAGTGAGAGAATGTGAAAGAGAGTATGAGAAAGTGAGTGTGTGAGAGAGAGAGCGAGTGAGTGAGAGAGTGAGTGAGTGAGTGAGGGAATGTGTGAGAGAGAGAGTGGGTGTGAGAGAGAGTGAGAGAGAAAGAATATGAGAGAGAGTGCTTCAGAGAGAGTGTGTTTGAGAGAGAGTGTGAGAGTGAGAAAGTGAGTGTGTGAGTGAGTGTGAGCGAGAGAGAATGAGAGAGAGCGAGTCAGTGAGAGTGAGAGATGGTATGAGAGTGAGAGAGTGTGTGAGTGACAGTGTGTGAGAGAGTGAGAGCGGGAGGGGGGTGGCAGTGGGCCCTGTGTGGGAGGGGGGTGGCAGTGGGCCCTGTGTGGGAGGGGGTTGCAGTGGGCCCTGTGTGGGAGGGGGTTGGCAGTGGGCCCTGTGTGGGGGGTGGTGGCAGTGGGCCCTGTGTGGGAGTGGGGTGGCAGTGGGCCCTGTGTGGCAGGGGGGTGGCAGTGGGCCCTGTGTGGGAGGGGGGCGGTAGTCGACCCGGGGGGGGATGGCAGTGGGCCCTGTGTGGGGGGGGGGGTTGCAGTGGGCCCTGTGTGGGGGGGGGGGTTGCAGTGGGCCCTGTGTGGTGGGGGGGTGGCAGTGGGCCCTGCGGGGTGTGTTATTCTGGTATGTGGGGTATTAATGGGGAGTATTAACAACTCGCTTTTACACAGTGCTTTTGACTTGTGTGGTCGCGTCCCGTAATGCGTGACAGTGATGGAGTCTGACCCTGAGTCAGAGGGAGGGAGTGGTGACCGTAAACACGATCAAAAGTGAGGATTTATAACTGAGATTTGCCAGAGGGGGAGAGGGGACGGTGAGGGGTTGAGCGAAAGAGTTCCAGACTTTCAGAGTTCAAGGCCCGGCCGCTGATGGTGGAACAGACGAGAGATGATCAGAAGGCCTGAGCCAAGCGGAGGCAGCGGGTGGTGGAGTGGGGGGTAAGTTATCGGAAAGGTAGGGAGGTGCGAGGGCATGAAGGGATTTGAAAACTACTGAGAGGATCTTGAAATCGATCCGTTCAGTAATTGGGAGCCAGTGGGGCCTGGCAATGACTGGAGTGATGGGGTACGGGAGTATTGTGCCATTGATATGAGCTGCCCTTTCTTGTCTACCTCTCAGAAGTGAAATGCTTCAAGCCTGTGTTCAGGGTGGAAGCCAGGAAGAGGGTGCTCGCGGGGAAGAAAAGCAAGGAGGTAACTAGCTAAATATTAAACACATTTTACATTGATTTCCAGCACGGACACAGCTGTAATCCAGGATCCTCACTTCCTCTAAAATGCATCTCATTCAGATCCCATAGTAACTACAACAACAAATTACATTTGTTTAGTTTCTTTGTCATATACTTGTGTTCTCTGACGATGGACCAGCCCATATCTGCTAACCTTATCAAACCATTTTATAATGTTAAATACCCTCTATTAAATCCCCTCTTGACCGTCTCTTCTCCAGTGAAGAAAGGCCTAATGTATCCATTCTATCCTGATAGCGGTAATCTGTCATCCTAGGATCATCCTTGTAGATTTGCCTTTCACATCCGGAGGAGAGCTCCATCTGAACAGTAAACGGGACCTCATCCCCCGAAGGGTGGCACCTCCAACAATGCAGCTCAACCCCAGCACTGCATTGCATATCGGTTCCAAGTCCCAACATGGAGCTTGATCCCTCAACCTCTAATACAGAGGCCAGAGTGAGACAGACTGAGCCAAACTGACACACACTGATAATGTTCTTACGTTCTGCATTTCAGAGCAAAAAGGAGAGCTCACACACTCCGTCAGGATCAGCTGAGGCTAGAGGTGACCACACAAGAGACGTGACTGAACCCACGTGTTCAGCAAATGAAGAGAGCAGCCTGGTCAAAAGAGGTGAAAATGAAGATCTCAAAACATCTAAACAAGGTATTCTTTCTGCAAAAAGCTCCACCGAAAGATTGAGCGCAGGAGGCAGTTTGTCCCATTGTGTCTTTGTCACTCGTTGACTCTGTTTTCCTTGTTTATCATTATTCCCACTTTCCAATTCCATCCCTCAAAGTTGCTGTTATTGATGCTCTGATTGAAGGAATCCCTTTGTGTCTGGTAACCCTCATGAGACATTTTGTCCTCTCTTCCCCCTTACCATCAATCATTCTGAACGATGTGAAATAGATTTTTCCACAGTTAATAATGATAATAATTGTTCCAGTTGATATAGCGCCTTATCACTTGGTTAAAACATAGCAAAGTGCTCCACAGCATATACTGTAAACTGGTATGACTATGGCACTGGAGTTCAGTTAACAATTGCCCACAAATTGTGCACCATTTTAAATTGTACACTAAAGGCCGAGGTTTGTGAGAGCTTTCAGGACTCTGTGTATACTGTGATTCTCAATCCTGTTCTTTTTTTATTTACTCCAAAGGGGGCCGAACCGGAAAGGGTTTGAGCTCCAAACACAGCCAAGCGAGTGGAGTAGAGACCGGGAGCAACAGATACGGTTTGAGAAAGAGGGAGAGAAGCAGTTACACTGAGGAAACGGATCTTCCTGACCATGATTACCTGTGTAAGTCAAAAAACAATCTGAGTTTCTCAGCATAATCGGGCAGGTGTCAGCCTGGCTCAGTTGGTGGCCCTCTGGCCTCCAGGTCAGAAGGTTTTGGGTTCGAGCCCCAACATCGTGGACAATGAGCTCACAGTCGAGGGTGACACTGCAGCACAGTACTGGGGGGAGGGAGCGCTGTGCGCGTTCAGGTGAACGTTACTTGCCTTCATGTCCATGACACATCCCAGGGCGTGAAGGGAGGTGTTTGTTTTTTTCAAAAAATGAGTGATATTTATCCTTGCATTTTATACATATTATCTTATCACATCGTCAAAATATCTCAAAGTGCTTCACAGTGTTAACAATATATACAAATTTACGTTGTTACAGCTCCTTTCGTGAGGAGGTGTCCCAAGGTGGTTGACTGTCGTGGCTTGTCACCTGAGCTGGGGGTAGGAGCTGAGAGGGTTGTGGAGTGGAATGTGACCAGAAGCACGGTCAAAGAGGAAGGAGCAAGTCGCAGAAACTCCCGGAGGAAGAGAGTGAATCGTACACTTCCCACTCAGCTCCTGTTAAACCTGCAAGCCAGTGCCATAACGGGGAGGGTGACAAGTAGCGGGAGAGCTTGCCACACACAGCTATCAATGGCAAGCTACGTGGTATTAGCTGGTTAATTCTGGGAGTTATCCACCCAACCTCTTGCCAACCTTCGCTTGATACTCTTTAGAATTACAAAAACAGGATGAGAAGCCTCCAATATCTGTAAGGAGCTGCGAGAAGTTTGACATTATTGGCGTTATCAAACACAAGGATTTATTATTGTTGTTTATTATTGTTACATTGTAAGTTTCTTACATTTAAAGTCCACCTGAAGAGGCCTGGCTGGGGTACATGGTTTAACATTTCATCTGAAGGACAGCACTCCCAACAACCCAACACATCCCCTACAGTAAATAAGAGTTTCTCCCAGTGTCCTGGCCAGTACTCCTGTGCACTAATCACAAAAACTGATATTGACAAAACTGACCTACGAGAAGGGCCCTATATGAATGCAAGTTGTTGTTGACCACAACACTGGACATTAATTGCTGTGAAGCATTTTAGAGTGTTTTGACTTGATCGGGTACTTTACAAATGCAAGGATTAATTCATAATTGGTCAAACAGTAATTCCTAAAGAAAACTCTCATATGTTGCTGACACAGATCATTATTTTCTCCCATCAGTGGATAATTCTGGGTCTCACCCTCGCCCTCATTGTAACATTATGTTTTCTCGTGCCGAGTTCCAGCAGAGAAACAGCAGAAGACATCCCGAGCTCCGTCAAGACACATCAACACAATCTGCTTGTAACATAAATGTTTCTTCACAACAGAGAGAGTGTCCGGCATCTATGACATATTCTGTTACAGAAAAGGGGTTTACGCATATGCAGAATCGCCAGCGATCACTCCCAGGAGAGAGACTGTATAAATGTGACGATTGTGGAAAGAGTTTCACAACACCAAGCAACCTTCACATTCACCATCGATGTCACACAGGAGAGAAACCATATAAATGTGCTGAATGTGGAAAGAGTTTCACACAGTCAGGGGCCTTCCTGAGACACCAGCGATCACACACAGGAGAGAGACCGTATGAATGTACTGAATGTGAGAAAAATTTCACAACGTCAGGGGAGCTCAAGGTTCACTATCGATCACACACAGGAGAGAGACCGTATAAATGTGCTGAATGTGGCCAGAGTTTCACACAGTCAGGGGACCTCCAGGTACACCATCGATTACACACAGGAGAGAGACCGTATGAATGTGTCGTATGTCAAATCAGTTTCAAAACGTCAGGGCACCTCAAGGTACACCAGCGATCACACACAGGAGAGAAACTGTATACATGTGCTGAATGTGGGCAGAGTTTCACACACTCAGGGGCCCTACAAAGTCACCAGCGATTACACACAGGAGAGAGACCATATAAATGTGTTCAATGTGGAAAAAGTTTTGCACAGTCAGGGAACCTCAAGTTACACCATCGATCACATACAGGAGAGAGACCGTATAAATGTGCTGAATGTGGGCAGCGTTTCACAACGTCAGGGCATCTCCAGCGACACCAGCGATCACACACAGGAGAGAGACCGTATAAATGTGTTGAATGTGGAAAGAGTTTCATTACATCAGGGGACCTGAAGGTACACCAGCGATCACACACAGGAGAGAGACCGTATAAATGTGCTGAATGTGGAAAGGGTTTCACACGGTCAGGAAACCTCAAAGTACACCAGCGATCACACACAGGAGAGAGACTGTATAAATGTGCCGAATGTGGAAAAAGTTTCACTACAAAACATTGTCTTCAAACACACCATCGATGGCACACAGTAGAGACTGTATAAATGTGTGAAGAGATTTGCTGGTTCTTAGCAGAAGAAAGAACACCAAATGCTCTGAAAGATGCCATTATCTTGGGAAAGCTTTCCTGAAGCTGGCACTTTTCAAGGCCCATATAAGAAGCTGCTTTGAGATGAAGTACTCACAAACATGTGGCTGTTATGCACATGTGAGGCTGTCACCAGGGTATGTGCTTACTGGAAAGTATAACAGAATTGCACAGTGAGTCCCTACTGACATGCGTCGTAGCCTCCACTGTTACAGCTCACATCATAGGTTAAAAGGCACCTTCTCCCCTGGTTTATTATCAGCAGAATAGGCTGTGTTTACTGGTTCATTACTAACAGAATGAGGTTTATAATGGTTTATTATCTACCAGTTTGGAGTGTATTTGCTGGTTTATATTGGTGTTCATAACAGTTTATTATCAGCAGAATGTTCTGTGTGTATTGTTTTATTGCCAGCAGATTGTTGTGTTTTTACTGGTCAATACTAGCAGAATGTACTCTAATTGAGATTTCACCATTATTGTGGATTAATAAAGAAAGTAGTTAGATGGAAACCATTACTGGCATTGTTATTGTCTCACAAGGAATCCTACAGTTGGGAATGGCTGTAGAGTGAGGAAAGGGGAGCACGACAGGATGTTGCAAGAGACAGGAGGGGCAGTGGTGAAGGCCTGAGGAGAGGAGGGAAAGATAATAGACTGTGAATGTCTGTGCAACCAGAATGTAGTCAGATTTTAAATCATGCTATTGAGGATTGGGTTGAGGGACTTACTCAGACTGGCTGGGCTGAGGGTCTTCATTCAGACAGTTTAATGATGCTCCAGCCAGAGATGTGTTGTATGCAAGGACTTGTCCCTATCATTGGGACAGCATCACTGGTGAAAATTGGGACTGTAGCTGCTGAGTTGGTCTGTCTATGTGGGGAGAGGGGAGATGTGAGTAGCGTGGGAGAGGGATAATATTCTGTCTGGGGTAAGGAACTGTCCATTTACAAATTCACTGTACTGTTAGAATATACTATAATATTTACAGCCATCAACATGGACTACTTTACCTTTTTCTTTAATTTACTATTCTATAATTTTCTCATGTGAGGAACGTACAGATAATTTTTCATCCCCAAATAGAGATTAATCTGAGGTGTCTACATAGAGGTTTATATCACAGGACAGGTGGAGAGGGTGCAAAGCATATTTACTAGGATGGTACCAGGAATGAGGGACTTCAGTTATGAGGAGAAACTAACTGAGGTTAATCTCCTTGGAGCAGAAAAGGTTAAGGGGAAATTTAATAGAGATGCTCAAAATTATGATGGGACAACAGGGTGAACAGGGATAAACTGTTTCCACTGGCAGGTGGGTTGGTAACCCGAGAACACAGATGTAAAATAGTTGTGAAAAGAACCGGAGGTGAGGATGCATGCGTTCATCACCTCTCGCTTGGATTACTCCAACGAACTTCTCGCCGGTCTTCACTATTCAAAATATTCAGCTTATTCAAAACACTGCCGCCTGCATACTAACCTGGACCAAATTTTGTACCCACACCTCACCAGCATTTTGGCCAGGCTCCACTGGCTCCCCATCAACGAATGGATCGACTTCAAGATCCTCACTTTCTTGTTCAAATCCATTCATTCACTGGCACTTCCCGACCTCTCCAACTTCCTCACTCTCCAATCCACTATCTGGTGCCTCCGCTGAACTGGCAACATTTCTCATACCCCCCGCCCCACCATTGGAGGTGATTTCAGCCACTATACCCCAAAACTCTGGAACACTCTCCCTCAATCCCTCCACCTTGACCCCCTCTACCCTCTTTCAAGTCCCACCTGAAAACTTTCTTGTTCGATCGGCCACTTGGAATCAAGTGGATCCCAAGCCGGATTCCCTCGGCTTGGAATCAAGCTCCGCCACTGTTAAACGCTCTGAGGCGCTACCCTACATGGAGAGTGCTATATAAGTGAAAGTTGTTGTTCTTGTAATGTACAGAGGGACCCTTGACGTGTAAGTGCTCCACGACGCTACCCGCTTGAAGGGCACTATATAAATGCAAGTTGTTAGACGATCGATGTGTAACCAAAGACATTCAGGAAAATGTATGTACACAGGCGTTTTGCGACTGAGCTTAAAGGGAGCATCCCACAAATGTGCACATCATGTGTGTTTGATAATCTGCCCATACTCCCATAAAGGGAAGGGGACAGGAAGGGGGTGAAGACCCACCTTGTAACTCCACTTTTCAAATAGCGGCAGAACCCCGAGATGGGAAGCCTTAGTCGCTCCCAAATGGAGTGCGCAGAGCCTTTTCCCCCAAACCCCCAACCACAACCACAAGGGGCCGGTTCTCGCTTCCTCTGGAATGTATCCACACCATATGATTCAACCACTGCCTCAGGCAGCAAGTTCCACAATCTCACAACTTTCTGCATGAAGCTGTTCCTCCTAATTTACCATTTTGGTCCCCCAGTGACCTTGTTGCATGTTTGCCCCTTGCCCCTCATCCAGTGGAAACTTTAATGGGTTATGTCCTGTACGTCCTGGAGATAAATGTAAATCTATATTTTGACAAATAGGAGGATCAATCATCGTATGGAACCGGTAGGCAACGTGAGAGTTGCTTCAACTGATGGTCTGACACAACATTAAAATTCGAATTCTCCAGAAAACTAATCAAATCTTTGCAATAAGCAAAGAAAATATCTGTTAATAAATTTTATGTTGGTTAATTAACTATCACATAACCCACTGAGTCAGTGAATAAAGTGCAATGTTTGTTTTTTTTTATCTGGCGATTCAGTTTAAGGATAATGATGGCTTTTAATGAATATGGAGGAAATCATTCATTACCTGTATTGTCAATTTCATCCTTTGAAATTTCAGTTGCATGATGTACATGTGGTTTGGTGGTCTAGGAGTATGATACTCGCTTAGGGATTAACAACTGGAGGAAACTGAGACATCCTGGGTTCAAATCCCAGATAAGACCGCAATTTATCTGGGACTGTTGGCTATGTTTCTCACTCTGAATGTATTTTGACACATAAACTATCATGCAGAGATCAATGGAGTAAAGGGTCAAATTAATAGGGGCATTAAATAACTGATAGCATCAGTGATGTAGTTGGGACAGACAACATGATAATAATAATAATCCTTGCATTTGATATAATGCTTTTCTCGTCTTCTAGCCGTCTCAAAGCGCTTCACAGAATACACTGCAAAGTGAATTGACTGTATATTTGCGGGCGAAACGCGGCAGCCAATTGCGCACAGCCAAGTTGTTATAAGTCAGGGTTCCATTCCTGGTTGATGCAGTGGAATTCGTCTGTGCTGTCCAATGGTTTCTAGCAAGTATTTTGCTTTGTCGCCGAAAGTCCTGCTGTGTTTTTTTTGAGCGAACAATGATGAAACAGATCTGTTGAGCATTCAATTTGATGGTGACAATGATTTTGAACAATTTCTGCCATTTTTGCTATTGCCATTTCCATCTGTTGTAATTGCAGCTGCTTGTTGATCACCTGGCTCCTTAGTCTCCAGCTGTGGTTATGATGACTAACTGTGTCATTGTATTGATGGTATTCCTTCTGTTCAATAAATTATTCCAAGTTGCTATCGAGCTCTGTTGATTTTCCATTTATTTTAGCTTTCTCTGGGAGGCAGTGGTGAGTGCCATCTCACAGGAATCAGGGTTGGGATCCCAACAATTCATCCTATCTATCAGGGATCCGGGTACTGTTTGCATTGATGAACGAATATGAAACATGTTTTGAATGAAACAAATACAAAAATAGACTTGATTTGCTTCCAGAATCTGCTAGCGTTTGAGAAAAGCCTTACAGAATCGGTTTCAATGAATGGAAATGTCATTTATTGTTTTTTCTTTTCTAATAGTTAATTGTACACATTCATGTTGAATGACGGTGCAGAGGGAGCTTCACTGTGTGTGGGAACAGACTGGTCATTGGGTGTCCTCCCGACACAAAGGCGTTATAAGTATAATATAATATAATATAATACCATATAATATGTTGATGAGGGAGCTTTACTCTGTCTGTATCACTGACTTGGAAATGTGGATGGACAGTGTAGAGCGAGCTTTCGTCTGTCTCTAATACTGATCTAGGAGTGTTGACTGACGGTGCAGAGGGAGCTCTACTGTATTTCTAAACCTGACCCTGGCGTGTGGACAGTCAGTGCAGGATATGCAGGATTTTTATTCACTTAACACGCACCAGCATTCCTGGTAGAGTTTGTTGATTAAATAATCTAACAATTAGTATAAATGGAAATGTCACGGCTTTCTTAATCTCCTCTCTGAATTTAGTCTGGGTAACCGCGTAAATGCATGTGTTTGTAGAGCAGCTCAAAAGCTGCATCATGGATCTAATTTCCTAGATAACGTAAAAAGTGCTGTTATAGCTTATGAAGGCATATGTCTTTGAAATCCTCCATTATAAAAAAATAAAACATATATCATCCATAATATTATAAAACTGCCGGATATTGCGAAGAGTAAAATTATGGCTTTCTTCATATTTGCGAATTGTCTTCAATGACCAAGACTGACTCGCTCCAAATAGAGAACAAGTCTCCTGACTATTTGACACTTCAAAAAGATAACAACAAGATTACATTTGTATAGTGCCTTTCACATCGGGAGTTTGTAATGGGGAACAAACTGGATTTCATATCGCTATTGTATATATAATATATAGTGATATATTCTCCCACGTTACAAAGATTGTATATATAATTGATTATTATATTGTGAGGTGACGAGAGAATGCTAATGTGCTTGGCGCAGTTGATAGCAATCTGCTTCCAAGTTAGAAGGTTGTGGGCTGAAGCCTCATTTGGGCATTTTTATCTCCATGTCTAAATTGAGCAGGAATAGAGAATCCCTTTCTGCTGCAACTTCAGATTCACCCCTTGCAAACTGTACAGCTCATCACCACATTACTCGCCAACCTCCACTGCCTGTGCCTCCAAATAAAACAACTTCAAGGTTCCAGACTAGATTTATTATCCCGATACTGCAATATTTTGCTACCCGTTTTTTNCCAATCCCTGTTTGTCCCACACCCCACATACTGTCCTGTCCGTGCTCAATAAAACAGCCTTCATGATCTTTGAGCCCAATTTTTAAAACTGCCACTCTCTACTTCTCAAACTCTTCCACTTTATGAGCGTTTGAATCCTACTAAAAAGATAAATATTCTACCAATTCTAGGATCACCTCCTCTCCTGTTGCACTTCTTATACCATTTCTCTGAAGCCCTCCAAATATACATGTTCCACATGGATTGGTATTTTGTATTCATTTAAAAGGCATCTTAACAGTGTGAGGTGGGCAGTAGGGTGGGTATTCTCAAAGAATGATTTCAGCTGGGTGGAAGGGATATCACATGGAGTCCTGTAGCTCAGTGGTTAGAGCACTCGCTTTGCAAGCGAGAGACCTGAGTTCAATTCCAGGCAGAGGGCGAAACCTTGGGCAAGTTTCCTTACTTCACACAGAGCCTAATAATAATCACTCCAAAACCAAAAACAATAAT